TTTTGTTAGAAACCAAACTCTGAAGTTACACTGGAATCCTAAAGATGCCTTCCAAAAGCTAAGCAAAGTATAAAGAAACAGGAACATTTTGTTAGAAACAAAGGAAAGAATACTGAACTGTTATGTAGTATCAGTCCTCTTATATGGCAGTGAATGTTGGACAATCTTCTCACAGATGAAGAAGATGCTTGAAGCAAAAGAAATATGATTATACAGAAAGATGCTGAGAATATCATGGACTGAACATATGAGCAAAGACAAAAGTTTCAGAGAAAATGGAAACAAAAAGAACATTTCTGCTTAGAATCAGAAAGAGGTAGAAATTTTTAGAGCACTTAATGAGGAAAAAGGGTTTTGAAAATTTGACACTCACAGGATATATTGATGGTAAGAGGGAGAGAGAAGAAAACAATGCATAACCTTCTTTGCTAGTTTGTGAAAATTGATGACAGAACAGATTTTAGGAAAAAAGTTTAGGTACAAATGACAGGAAAATGTGGAGAGTCATGATTGCTAGTGTCCAAAAGGAACCTAGCACATAGAAGAAGATATTTTTTTGTAAATGTCATGTCCCTTTAGGAGATAAGTGATCATACATTCATAGTGCAATAAAAGACAGCTAAAGATACTTTTTTCTAGATTCAGTGATTTGTTTTTTTTTGTTTTTTTTACTGCTTATTAACCATTTGCAGTTTATTTAAAGCAAGTATATATTTTTAAATTTTAAGAATTTTTTTGAAATAATGATGATTTACTGATACAATTTCTACCAATTAACCTATAGCTAGGGTAGAAAGAGGTGGATTCTTAACTTTCCCAAGGGTATTTGTGCATAAGGAAATAATATAGTGAGACTGACTGGAATTGGAACTTGACTCTCCAATTTCCAATTCTGCGCTCTTATCCATTTGTAGTGGAATTAGAACTCTGGACAAATAATTGTAAACCCCTTAACATAGAAAAATACCTGCAGAAAATGAGAAACAAGAAAATGTGGAAACAACAAAACAAGTATTATTTATTATTTGTTTGATGGTAGTTGTTATGCTGGTTTTCTAAGTCTAGCATAGATGTAGCAAGAAACTGAAAGTGTGGGGCACCCAGTAAGGATCACACTCATTATTTAGTTGTATTTGATCTAGTAAGACAAGCTTGCTAACCATGGCGCCATGTTGAAGTGCCCTGATGGTGGTTGTTATATGGTGTTAAAGATATGAGAGACAGTAATACTGAATAAATTGTATATAGTCTTTCTTGTATGTTTTTTTTTTTTCTTTTTTTTTTTTATAATGCATGTAGTGAGTGTCCAGATAATTTATTTGGAGAAAAATGAAGTCTAGAGTTTTTTTACCTCAAATTTTGGCTATGAATGTTAAAAAGGGACAAATGTTAACACTATGTCCTGAAAAGGAAGGGAGCTCAAATTTTGGTCAACGCTCATGTTGACTGCTTGTCCGATGGTGCAGGTGTCATGTGTTTGTTTGGGGTAGAGGAAAAGAATGCAGTTAATTCTTTTTGTTTTAAAAAGGGTGAATTGTATTAATGATAATTATAATTTTTATAATTATTTCCTTTGTGATAATATAATTAATTTTCATTTACTACAATTCTCCATGTATAATACGCCTTCATCCATAATAAGCATACCTAAAATTGTGCTGAAAATGTAGGATAATACGCACCCCTTGTTTGGTAATCAAACTGTATAAATTGTACCTCTGCAATTTCATTATGGCCAGCATTTCCTACTCTTATGTAATAAAATGGTTTTAAACAAAATAATATTATCTTAATTTAGTTTTATGAAAATTCTTATTTTATTTTATGGTTATTTTTTAAAGAATTTTTGTAGCTGTACATAATGTGCACCCTTGATTTTGCTTATTGTTTCTTATAAAAAAGTGTGTATTATACATGGGGAATTATGGTATTTATTCATATCCATACATGACACATTTCACCACCTGCACATCCAAGTTTACAGCATCTGGCATTCCCAAGTGGCCACCTATATAGGTACTGACCAGACTCAATGTTGCTTAACATTAAGATCATGCAAGAACTGGTGTTTGAATGAGATATGGCTGTAAGTCCATTTTTTCATGGAATGAAGGACTAAACAAAAAAACTAAATTTCTCTTTTTGACCTCAATTTTAATCTTTGTGACCTCAATTTTAATCTTTGTGACAATCTTATAACAAATCGTTTTTTGGTTTTCTTTTCTTTCTAAAACATTATCTTCTAAAACTTCCATATCAGTTTTATATGTGAAAAATGTCTGTAGGTCTTATTCAAGAAAATAAACACAATTGAAAACCAAAAATTGTGTATTTAAAATAAAAACAAAATGTTTACAGTAGGATCATCTTCTATATGCTGTGTCTCGTCATGACCTAGGCAATCATGGTTTTCCACCATCTCCTATCCCTCGTAAGTAATATTTGTCACCTTCCAATCCTTTTCCATCATCCATTCACACAGGCTTATCAGGTAAGTGGGCTGTTGCCTTCCCCTGTACCTTTTGACTTTGATATACCCTGTGAGTGTCAAATTCTCCAAGCCCTCCTTCCTCATTATACATTCATTTCAGCTTTTTTTCTATTTGATTCTAATTACAAGCGTTCTTTTTTGTTGCCATTTTCGTTAAGATTTCCTCATTGCTTATGCACTCCATCCATGGTATTCTCAGCATTCTTCTGTTGAACCACATTTTTGTTGTCTCCAGTTTTCTCTTCGTCTGTTGTGGGATTGTCCACCATTCACTTCCATACAAGAGGATTGATATCACATAACAGTTCAGTACTGTTTCTAATGAATTTTTCCTGTTTCTGGTGGAGACTCATTAGCGTAATGGAACATGGCTTGGGTTGTGGAATCGGAGAGCAGGGTTCAAATTCCACTTGGTTACATTCATTTATGTGCAAATACCCTTTGGAAAGGTACAAATCCATCTCTTCTCTCCCCAGTTATGGTTAAATAACAGGATAGATTGGGTTGTATAGCAATGAGTGACAACTAGTCTAGGAGAAAACTCTGAATTCAAAACTTCCAATTATGGGTTCAAATAACCTCACTATACTGCAATTCTGAAGAACCAGAGAGGGGTTCCTCCAATGGGAGTAAGAAGTGCACCCTACCAACTCAAATTTTGCTTTGAATTTTGATTTCCTGTTAGCATATTACTTTACTTAGCTTCTGGTTCTTATCTTTTTCTATTCCTATGCACATTTGGATTTCAATCTAAAATTTTTTTAATCGATTTCACCCCAAGCAAAGCAGTAAAGCTACTAAGACACAAGGGATTACTGGGTGTGGAAGAATTAGAAACAGAAACATTACTAATAAGTGGGAAGAGAAAGGAGTAATCAGGAGGGCAGTAGATAGCAATTGACATTGTATTTAAATATTTGGAGATTAATGTTGGCTTGAAAGCATGGAACTGGAAGGGAGTTCTACAATATTCATTTTATGAGAAGATCAGTTAAAAAAATAGAGAAATGAGTCACTCTCCTGGAGGTTAGCATCAGCCATATTGATGGGCAGCAAAAAGGGTTCTCTCAAATGATTAAAAGAGAGCGGTTCCGTTTTTGAAAAAAATTAACAAGCTACTCCTTGCCCCATTTAACAACAGATTTTATGTCATTTTAGAGATCAGCTGCCAATATGACCTTATCAAACTGATCAGACTTACTATGAAGACAGGAGTAAATAGTTGTTATCAGTATATATACCAAATTTTTAACTGATGACATCACGAAGGTCATTTAGTTTAGGATTGGGTTTCTGGTTTCTTTTAAAGATTTCTTTTTTTTTTTTCCCTTCCAGTAAATCCTTATGTCTTAGTGGCATTATCACCTTGCTTGGAATGATTTGATTAAAAAAAATAAATAAATATAGCACTTTCAAAAAATATTCTGTTATGTGGTCATATTTTTTTTATTTGGTTACAAGAAATAATCCATACTAAATCAAAAAAGTCATGGTTGCATAATCTTAGTAATCACTAAGCTCTACTTAGTACAGAACAAATTCACAAGTATAGGATGGTGAATTAGAATTGAATTGAATACAGCTGAACAGGAGTAGAAGGTTTATCCCTTGTTTTCTGTTTTGGTTTCTGGTTCCTTCTAAAATACAGTTCTGTTTTGCTCTAAAGTTTAAATTGAACTGTTATTTTGCAATGAACCATATAAAATTGTCCAGTATTCACTGCTGTACAAGAGGGTTGATATTACATAACAATCCAGTACTATTTTCTTTGTTTCAAACAAAATTTTCCTATTTCACAATACTTTGCTTAGCTTTTGGAAGGTAATGTTATAATAAGTGTTTGGTTGCGAGAGGAAAGTAATAACGAGGATTAGGTTTCTGAGCAATGTGTATTTGTTTAGTATATTGGGTGTCTTACAGAATTGTCGGAAAATTAATGAAACGTCAATTTTTGTTGCTGATCGTTAAGATGGAGATAAGGTGTTAACCAATTTCTTGTGTTGGTCAATTGAGGTCATGGTGGTAGGCTGATTCATTGATTGTCAAGGTAATGTTCTCTGCTTTTATGGTGTTCACATCTAGCTGGCCTGCAGAATGAATCAGAAAGAAATTTAATTGCAACAGAGTATAACAGTATTTTTTGAATTACAATCTACGTTTAGATTTTGGTGTTGCATTTCCTGTCCTCTGTTAAGCAAGTCTCAGATATTTAAAGTTTTTTTGTACTTGCTTGCTTTCAGTATCTTCAATTCATAGTTTGCACATTGAGCTGGTCCATTTGCTGACAACCATACATTCTGTCTTCGTGTTTAGTTCTTTCTTCTGGCATTTTTTAATCCTTTTTTCCCCTCATTATCTGCTCTGAAAGTTTTAACTGTTTCATTCTAATTCTTAGTACAAGTCTCCATTTTGTTTTCATTTTCCTTAAAATATTGTTGTTACTCACATGTCCAGTATTTCACAGCATCCTTTGGTAGAACCATATTTGTGTTGCCTCACGTCTCTTATTGGTTCCTGTATGATCACCAAAGTTAAGCAACATTGAGCCTGGTCTGTATCTAGATGGGTGACTGCTCGGGAATACCAGGTGCTGTAAGGTTGCATATGCAGGTGGTGTAGTGGATAATGGCTTGGAATTGTTAATCGGAGAGCCAATTTTCAATTTCTATTGAGTTTGTTATACTCAGTTATCCGCAAATACCCTTGGAAAAATGTATGAATCCACCTCTTCTCCCCCCAGCTATAGGTTTAGTAAGAATGTATCACTAAAACCATTATTATTGAAAAAAATTCTTACAATCTAAAAATATTTTCTGGCTTTAAATAACCTGCAAAGGGTTGATAAATCATAGAAAACAAATATATCAAGTCTTTTCTTCATCTGTGATGAGATTGTCCAGTATTCACTCCCATAGAGGACTGATATTTGATAGCAGTTTAATGTTTCTAACCAAATGTTCCTGTTGGCTTAGCTTTTGGAAAGCATCTTTCAGATTCCAATGTAATTTCGCATTTTTCTGTCCTCTGTTAAAACACTTTCTTAGATATTTATTTATTTATTTTTTTGTACTAGTGCTAGTTTGTTTTCGGTATTGAAAATTCGTAGATCGTGAGTTGATCTTTTTTCAATCATACAATCCTCGAAAAAACCCTAACCTACAGGAGGGGGCGAAAGTGTATTACACTTTCGCCCCCTCCCGTAGATTAGGGTTTTTTTTTTGTTTCTCGACATTTAATTTAAGTATTAACAATAACAAACAGAATTGTTTCCAGACTGTCGTACCTGGGCAACCCATTGTTGAATGACAGGAATCAACGAATGAGAAAGTGTAATAGCGCCCAGTCTTCTGACAATTGATGTTTGTCCTTTCTTCTCGCTTTCTTTTAACTACCTTCTGTCGGAATCTTAAGAGAAACAAACAATAAATAAAGATGTAAAAAGAAACTTATTAAATCAAAAACAAAAAAAAAAAACTGTTGATTTCTGTACGCAAGCCGTAGATTTTTTTTTCACCTAAAAAAACCTGAATGAAAATTGTCTCTTAAAATTACTACTATCAGAAAAATCGACGTACTCAGATACAACGTGTCGAGTGGATATCTTCCTTTATGTGTTGTGGTCAGCATTTGCGGTTATGAAAAATAAATACCGTCACGCTTAATAAAATAATAGTAAATTTTCCATATACACATCTACGCACTTTGTCAGCAGTTTCTGTTGTAGTTTGAGATTCTGCCTGCTGCTTCGACCCAGGTTGTCGTTATTTTCTCTTATTTATTTCCATCATCTACTCCTTTACCCTCGTCTTTTTTCTTTATTCTCCTCACACTTTTCCTCATTTTCTCCTCCCCTCTATCTTTTTTCATCTCGCTTTCTATTTCCCTTATATTGCCATGTAATTTACGAAGTCGTGTCTTATAAGAAAGATACCAACGTCTTCTCAGTGCTTGATGATTTACAGCAGTACGAGTACTAGTAGTTAAAGTAGTTGTAAAAACTACAGATAGTCAGACTCTTTTCTTCCCCTACACATTTCTCAATACTACTAAGCATAACTACCATAGAGGCGTATATTTGCAACTATCAAGCCTTCACACAACTACAAGTAAAACAAAAGCGTATATTTGTGTATCGTGTGTCCGTGCCTATGAAATATTGGGCACATGTTCTTTATGATTGCTGGTATTTCATTGCAAATAGAGGAATCTGTAATATAACATAAAAAAAAATAACGTGTTCAAATCTGTAAGGATAAACTATTACAGAAACATAGTCATGTACTGTTAAAATTTGGTTTTAAAACTTGCTTGAAGACGTAGATGACAACAAGAAGAGTTTTCTTTTTAGTTAGTGTGGTTAACAGAACTGTTGAACACGACATTGTTAGTTAACTAAAAAAAAATAACACACATACTCGAGATGTGTAAAAAGTAAAAGCATGGTTAAGTAAAAAAAAAATGCTTATTCATAAATAAATCCTCAACAAAGGTGGTTTTTTTCACACATTCTGCAAGAAAACCTTTAGAATTTAAAAAAAAAAAAAACAAAAACACGAAGACTCTAGTTTTTATTTAAACCAGCTGTAAATTAAACTCATTTTCTCTCCATCTATCCAGTATTATTTTCTTAAAGAAGAAAAAAAACATTTCGGTTTCTATCTTTCCTTGTCTCACTTTTTCCCCCACTTTGCCCATCCATCTGTCAAATCCCGGGAACTGATTTTAGCAGCACCGTTTTTATGTGTGGAATCTCTTGAAGTGTAACTTGCAGACAATGCTGCCACCAATCTCACCCTCCTCCTGTCATCAGTTGGAACTTAAGATAAACCTGGCCCAGTGGTGGTTGTTTGTTGGGTACCCACCCCAGCGGATTTATTAACTAAGAAGGTCAGTGGCTAACAAAAGCTAAATGGCAGTATTTCTTGTGTGCAGATTTCAGTCGTTTACTTTTTTTTTGTTTGTTATGCTAAGTACTTTTTAATTTAATTTTTTATGGCTTATTAGTTGTCGAGTATGACTATTGCCAATATTTTTTTTTTTTTTTTTTTAGTGTTTCATTTGTAATTTTGTTTTGAGAATGATGCGAAATGAAAGAGAAGCAAAAAGGTCGAGATGTCCTCCAGGGCCAAGGCAGAATTGTGTGAACAACTTACGGTCTCTCTATGAATGAATGAATGAATGAATATCTAAAACACGATATATGTGCTAATAATAAGATATGAAATGCATACAATGGTAGTTTCAGGAAGAAAAGGAGTAGGGGTTATACAAGTGGGGTTGTTAAAGAATAGAATGCGTGTGTATTGTAAAAACTTAGCTTTTATTGCTTACTATATATTTTTTGGCGCCTCGGTATGGAAATGATAAGTCCAATCTGGTTGACCATTACTATGGTACTACTGACTAAGTATTGAGTGCCTAATACAAAAATTCGACATTAAATAATCTAGCAGTGGGGTTGACGTGTTGTAAAAAATAAACCAAACTGACCTACCCACCCCCATCTTTTTTTTGTCACGTGGCCGCAGATATGGGGGTACACCGTAAGGATCGAACTAACTACGACACCACCACGACGAATCGCAGCCACCTTTGTTTGCGTTCTTTTGTCGTCGTGAGTTCGATGCTCACACGCTGCCAGACCCCCGTGACCCTGTGTCAGACTAAAAATCAAAAGCCCACGAAACATGTGTGGCTTACCTTGTGCGTGAAATACGTATGATTGACGTATTTCTCACCGGTGTCAGAGGGTGGTGTTCGGGTCAAAGTCACAACGAAGGTTCGGACTGATTATTTATTTACATTTTTAATTAGTCAAACCGGCTCTCCCACTTAAAACAATAATTAAATAGCGCTACCTTCCTTGCCCCAGTTTCCTTATATTTTTGACCTTGTGCCATTCTCAGTTAAATTTAAAAATCACTCCCTTTCTCTATCTCGTACACACAGTGTCATGAATATTGAGACAAAGACGATGTTTTTGACTTGTAAATAAATTTAGTAGCAGTGGAGTGGTATCTCATACAGAAAGTGCAAGCAAAGTGGATTCATCCGTATTTTTTTGTCATGCAACACATTGCACACAGATACTACACTCTTCTTAATCAGAGCAAAAAACTGAGATGCGTTGATCTGAGGTACAGCGTCGTCGTACATATTCAGATGCTCTGCTGATCCATAAGTAAATATTTCTATATTTTTTTGAAGGGTAATGTCGCGTAAGTCAGGAGAGAAAGAAAGAATGTTCTTCAGTGTTTTATTTTTTCTCTATCTTTTGTTGTACACGAAGACGAAATTGTGGGAAAGAGATGTGTATGATAATTTTTTAAAATCATGATGATAAAAGTATGTATGGTCTGTAGAGGTTCTTCTATATGCTGTGTCCCTTCAAGGCGTGGGCGGTTATGGTTCTTCACAACGTCCCCTCCTTTCTAGCTCTTAGCAATATAATGTCTACTAAATTGAGGGAAAGTTCTATATTTGGTATATATATTGTTGAATAGAGTGGCACGCGATATACTCATCAGTAAATAAAAATAAAGATATGTTGCCTGATCAGTTCTTCTCAAAGACAGGTCGAATTATCTAAGAGAGCCTGTCGGGATTATATTGCGTTATCCGTTGCAATGTTTACATTTTTGCATTTACCTTTTTAGTTTGTGTGTGTGTCTGTAAGCATATTATTACGTATAGTGAATCTATAGACAAGTTTGTCAATTACATTGTTCCAGTCTATTAAATCAAAATGAAAACTTAATTGGCCTGATGATCGCTTAAGGCATGAAACTGCCAATCTCCATGAAGTGTTAGGGTAAGGTCCATTATTCCCTTTTTCTGACAAAAACTAGAGAAGGTTCTGCAATATGAAGTATTTTTGATACATCATTTGTGTATATGTTTACTTACGCTACAGCTTACATTTACAAGTGCTTTGTACCAGACATTGGTCATGCTTCCTCCATAAATATTAAATAAAATATATGGATTCTCTCGTCATTTTCAATGTACAAAGCTCCAGTAGCTCAGTTCTTAGAACCAAACATCCAGACTACCTGCACATATGATTTGATTATAGAAGTTAAGAAGACTTATGCAGAACTAGCTACACTTTTTGGCAGCATAGAAAGAACCAGTGCACATAGTGTGCCACAAGACCTCAAAATGACTCTCAGATTTTGAATTCAGAGTTGGCTTTCTCCTAGACTGGTTGCCAACCAAGGATATAGGGCTCAGTCTGTTCTATTTACCCATCTGGTGAGGGGTTGAGATATGGATTCATACGGATATTTGTGTGAAAGTGAATGTAATAACTAGAATTTGAACTCAGCTTTCTGATTTCTCAACCTGAGCCGCTATGCATTACACCACCGTGCCCCCCCAGACACACATATATATGCAGTGTATATTTGTATTAACACACATATGCATGATGTTGAATCATGAACTCTATAGCCTGGCACAGTAGTTGATGAATTTAGATTTCAAATTTTGATTCTATAATGTTTGGCTTGTGTGATTAATATGCATTGAATTAAGTGCCTTGGCAAGGAAGGAAATTATGTTGAAAAATAAATAATGCTATTTTTATAATAAACT